TTTTTATAGGATAGGGTGACAAAAGGGCAAATGGTCGCTGTGATCCACAGACATCCACATCCATCCTCAATAAAGAATGAAAATGCAGATGCGTTGTCACCCGTGAGGACCAAGATGGATGCCTCCTTTCCAGTAAAAAGGGTATACGATTCTCTACACTCACCATACGAAACACAGCAGCGTTAAGCTGCCACTTTTCGCTGGTAAATTCGTGCTACAACTATACTACTAATATAGCTGCAGCATGGCTCTACCACGTTAAAATATGACCTTTTTGTCTTTCTATTTAACTGCATTTCTGAAACATTAAATTTAAAAAAGGCGTGGCCAAGAGTACTTAACTATATAGTCGCGAGTACAAGACGTTACCTATTTATGACCTATTATATATTCAGGATACAGTATTTGCGTCTATACTTTTTTAATCGTTAATCCTACAGTTGGAATTTATCTTGTATCGTGGGGGTGTTTTATAAACATAAATGGTATAAAGACGAAAGTCCAGACCAGGAAGAAGCATTTGTTTATACGAGTAGGTCACACAAATAGTTATTCCGTGTGGGATTCGAAACCGCGGCCCGAAGAGCTGCGCTGCTGCCAAGAACTTAGCCAATGCGCTCTGAGTCGTTGGACTCTAGATACGGTTTGGTCACCATGGTCTTAATTAGCTCGGTCTCATCCTTTTTCTTTTTATTATTAAATAAAATTCATTCCTTTTCATTGTTAAAGAGTATTTATTATAATACATATTTATTTTACAAAGAAGCCTCTGCTCCAATTTCACGTTCAAATACGTGTTTATTATTATCCGAATTATCTGAATACCATCCTGGCCGGAGCCAATGTTTTTGTTGATTGCAATTATCATTCGCGTTCGGAAAATTACGGCACATATTCTCGTCAGGTATACCTCAAAACTTGAAAACGAGACTGTGCAACCAGTGCGTGTTGCCAGTGATGACATACGGAAGTGAGACGTGGTTCTTCACTGCTGGCCGGATGAGGAAGCTCAAGGTCGCCCAGCGAGCTATGGAGAGGGCTATGCTTGGAGTTACTCTGCATGATAACCTCAGAAATGAGGATATCCGCAGTAGAACCAGAGTGACCGACATAGCCCAACGGATTAGTAAGCTGAAGTGGCAATGGGCCGGCCATATAGCTCGAAGAACCGACAAGCGATGGGGAAATAAGGTTCTCGAGTGGCAGCCTCGTACCGGCAGGCAAAGTGTTGGGCGTCCCCCCACTAGATGGAGTGAAGACCTGGTAAGATATGCAGGAAGTCGATGGATGCAGGTGGCTCAGGACAGTGCTTTGCAGCATTCCTTGGGGGAGGCCTATGTTCAGCAGTGGACTTGTGAAGGGCTGTATAATGATGATGATAATGATGAATTATCATCAGCAATAAATGAAAACTATCCGAGGAAACCAGCATTCCTGAAAAGTTAAAAATGTGTCGAGGGTATGTGAATTCGATGGATGCAAGATGCTTAGGAGTGCGCTGTGTAGAATTCCCTAGGGGAGACCAATGTTCAGCTGTGGACTTGTTATGGGCTGTAATGATGATGACGATCATGAAATGAAGTCCTCAAACACTAAGGAAATAAATGTTAACAAAATATTAAATTTTTAGAGTCTTACTGTTTAACCTTTTTATAAGAATTCATTAATCTTTGTAATTGTAAATGCCCTACTTTTTAAAAGATAGCAAACCGTCATATTTGTTTTAATAGAAATGCTACCTTTTTTTACACTCTTTATATTAGTTTGACCTGTATGTATCTATGTATAAATGTAATGGAATTTTGAGATTATGTTTTCTACTAGTTCCAGACGTCTGAATAATTTAATGTAATACTAGATCTAACACTCTCAATAGGATCATCACGGCTCATGATCAATGCGTGTTGTTTATGTTCTCTTAAACTCTAGTTCTATTAATTATGAAATCTATTTCTTTTACTTATGAAATAATTAAATAAGATAGCGATGAAATCAACTACGCTTACAATGTAATTGATTACTAGTAAATACTACTACCTAATTGAAGTTTACACTTGACAATTTTTTTTGCGATTTACGCAACGCTCTTTTTTAAAGAATGTTAAGACTTTAGTTTGTTGTTATTGTGTAATAGTAATATCATCAAAAACATAACTTGTAAAAAAAAACAAGTCTCGGAACTCAGTTCTTCTACAGTAAAAAGTTGTGAGATCCATGTAATACCAAGTTGATTAATTTATTCAGTACCTATGGGGGTCAGTCCATAATGGTCCTTTTGTCTCAAGTTATTACGTAACTTACTAGCCTAACAACATCTTACAGTGACCATATCAATATTAGAAATCTTTTAAGTTTTAAATAAATAGATTGTCTTGGCCATCGCATGAAAACACAATGTATCTCACAAGTAATACATATTATATTAAATTAGATTGTTTAGTGCGATTGCCAAGGCAAGCTATGTATTTAAAATATAAAATATTTTAAATATTGATATGGTCACACAAAAAAAAAGTTTGTCTTTATTTCACAGAATACAAATGGGGGGTTCGAGCTTAATGCATCTAATGATATTGCGATTGTTGACCACGAGTGCAAAGATTAGAGTTTCGTGTTGCTCCCTCATATACAGAAAGGTAATCTTTGAAGTATAGTAAATTTAAATAAAAGATCACTTTTATAGAAAACAACTTATAATTAGGCATGACGGCCCGGTCCTATGTCGTATTACAGAAGACTTTTCGCTCTAAGACAGGAACAAAGAAAGATACGTTATTCCTAGCTGTGAAACAATGCAGAAATAATGAAAAAATACAGTTCCGAACTGACAGTCATCTTGAACGCACAATAGTTATATGAAAAAGAGTAGCAATAAATAAAAACATTAGTGTCATATTTTGGGACGTGATCGACTTTAATAAAAACATTATTGCATTACTGATTCTGTTGCGGCGTGAAACCTACATAATAAGTCTACGTATAAGGCGATAAATGAGCGAAACCTCTGGCAGTACGTAGTGCAACTGCTAGGTAATAATTTATGATTTATTTACTCATTCACTGCAAATGTAACTTTTTAATCCTATATATTTATATAGGATTACAAAGTTATTTATGCAGTTGGTGTATCTAGAAAACTGGTTTAGTTGTATTAGTAATTTTTAGTTGGTTTATACACTAAATACTAATTGAATTCTAAATTTGAAAGATCTACGTCTGCTAGAAGTGCCTTAGAGTTTTGATGATCGGTCAGTCAGTGAGTGAAAAAATTAAGAAAGTTTGACAAGTTATAATTCTTAAACTACTGGTTCAAATGGAATGAAATTTGAAATATACCGTGTTTATATAATGCAAGCTTGGTTATTGAAAATTCAGGCTTCTAGTTTTATCCACAACGAAGTTATAGGGGGTCGAAAATGGCCTTAACTGCTTCGAGAAAAGGATGGTACGGCCGTACCGGGTTTTTGCTCGACTTGGCGGGGTCACTACCGTGCCCCCAGATAATGTTTTCATTTATACTATTAATAAATTAATATCCATAGCGCATGGGGAAGTAGCGTCAAAGCTGCAAGAATCTGTTACTGGGATCGCATTTTGCCTGCCATGTGTGGAAATTATTTGAAATCTTCTATATGCACCACTAAAGTAAAGGCACATATAATGCATGGCAGCATTGCAATTATTATACTGGACTTATTATATGGTCGGACTGGTTTGGAGGAGGGCTATAGTAAAGTGCCTCATTGCAAAATAAGTAATGGAGTGAGAAAAGTTTGCCACTCTTCTTTAAGTCTATTTTCTTGTGATGATTGGTACCTTTGGATTAATTTGAGTCATGCTGCAGATATATTAATTGTATTGTAGTTGTGAATAAGTCGGATTGACCGGGGAAAGACTACGCTGTCACAGAATACCAGCGTAAAATAGCAGCTTAATGCTGCTATGTTTTGTATGGTGAATGCAGAGAACCGGAGACCCTTTTTACTGGAAAAGAGGCATTTCATCTTAGTTCTCACGACTGACAACTCACCTGCATTTTGATTCGCAAACGAAGATAGATGTACCTATATGTCTATGGGCCACTGCATCCACTTACCATCAGGTGGACAGTGTGCTCGCTTGTTACCCTTATCCTATAAAAAAACCTTGAAATACTTATATTTTATTTTTTATGTCATACATTTTCGGCCTTATTATAAAACGTGGTTTATTGATCTTGGGCTTGAAGAAGGGCCTCTGTTACGAAAGAAGTTTCTTAGCCGCGGCGCCACGGTTCTCGCGAAATTTAACATTTGCTTACAATTTCCATAGTCCCGTGGAAAATACATGAACTAAATGTACCTAACATTTAGTTCATATATTTTCCACGGGACTTCTTAATTAAAACATACTCAAATACTGAACCAATTTTAAATTTCTTTTTGTTAGACTGTTTGTGTTTAGTGAAAAGTAATTCTCAAAAGAATTATGATTAATGAACGAGAAGTACATACTTTTCCTATAAAAAAATGTAGTTTACAATAAGATAGCAGTAGTAAATATGTAAGTCTAGTTCTCTTATCTCATTACAAAGCTAGTTTACATTAATTATTATTTACTATTTAAAATAACAATGTTCGTTCATTACACATTCCATAGTTTTAAGTTTAGCTTTAAATACTGTAAAAACTTTACTCCGCTTAGAGCTAATGGTAGTTTACCGTGTAGTCGCGCCCGTTTAAATTGAATAAATTTCGCAATATAATTTAAAAAAATAATTTTGATTATAAATTGTTACAGTTCCATAAACTATATTATAAGAATTTTTTAGATTATTGGTGGTGGTGCACACCGCTGAATGTGTGGTAAATCAGCAAATTATGTTTTTATTAAGAATTGCAGTGATGTCAGTGTTAGAATCATACTTAGATATTTCGTGCTCTGTGAGATAATTAAAGGCAATCGCGCTACGATAAAAATTCATGGCTGTATGAAATTTTAAGCAGTTTAAAATCACGTACCTCTTGTGGATAGAATGGTGCTTGCAGGGCGACGCACAAAGCGTTACAAAAATCTGCTATAGATATAACCACTATTATTAACCATTGTCTTCTAGAAAAGTCGAAACCCATTTTCTAATGAGAAATTAACACAAAATTTCCCACAACTATAATACAAGTATTAAATAAGATATCATAACTGTTTATACGCTTGAAGTTTGGATTGATAATTACACATATGTCACCTACAACCGTGATTCTATTCCTGTGGTGGATAAATAACTGACAAGAAGCTCCACATCGAGGGTAAATTATTACATTTTGTTTATAACAAACTAATTACGGAATAGGCATGAAAGCGTACTGCTTTATCGAATCGGATACAGTACATTGACATTTGTATGTGCCAAGTATTTAGTTGGGAGTATATAAAATAATAATTGAACCTCAAATTGTACTTTTCGCCTTTAGTTGACCTCCGTTTAGCTCCCTCGTTGAAGTGATGGCGCGTGAAGAAGTATTGACCGCTAGAAAGATAAAGTCTAATATCGGTGTGATTTAAAAAAATAATTACTAAAAAGAAACGCTATAATTGCTTTTATCTATAAACATTAGGTGTTGTTTATTAATAAAACGATAAAAATTGCGACAAATGGTATTTTATAAGGTACGTTACAACTATAAGTGTATCACTGGTATGAGTTTTTAAAATACTAATTCATTTAAATAATGTTTGATTTCATACCTAAAACCTATAACATATGTTATAATAATTGATTAGTAACCCTGATGGCTCCATTTCTTTCCCTGGGTGTAAGGGATGATACTGGGTAATGCTACAAACATGTCAAGTTATCAAATAACCAGATATAAATAGACCGACACTGACTCTCAGTGTCACAGGCGTGTGATATTGCGATCTCGAGTTCTGATCAGCGTTCTATCGAATTAGATCACCAGTTCTGTTATGCGGGGCTATTATAGCCATGACCATGACCAGCAATGTTCTGTTAGAGCATAATAAAGAGGATCCAAAAATAATATCTTAACTACATACAATACGCAATTTAATAACAGTATATAAAAATCAAAAGTTCACCTACACGATTGATTGATTATTTTTTGTGTGAATGAATGAATGACTCAGAGGTCAATCGACGGATTCAACTCGGCTGGGCAGCGTTCGGGAAGCTACGACACATCTTCTCGTCAGACATACCTCAAAACCTTAAAACGAAATTGTACAACCAGTGCGTGTTGCCAGTGATGACTTACGGAACTGAGACGTGGTCCTTCACTGCTGGCCGTATGAGGAAGCTCAAGGTCGCTCAGCGAGCTATGGAGAGGGCTATGCTCGGAGTTTCTCTGCGTGATAAACTTAGGAATGAGGATATCCGCAGTAGAACCAGAGTGACCGACATAGCCCAACGGATTAGTAAGCTGAAGTGGCAGTGGGCCGGCCATATAGCTCGAAGAACCGACAACCGATGGGGAAGAAAGGTTCTCGAGTGGCAGCCTCGTACCGGTAGGCGAAGTGTAGGGCGTCCCCCCACTAGATGGAGTGACGACCTGGTAAGACATGCAGGAAGTCGATGGATGCAGGTGGCTCAGGACCGTGTTTTGTGGCATTCTTTGGGGGAGGGCTATGTTCAGCAGTGGACTTGTGAAGGGCTGTAATGATGATGATGATGATGATGAATGAATGACTTATTTGTCACACATCACAATGCGTAATAAAAAGAAACTACAGCTAACAAAAAAAATATATACACAAATTATGAGGCATTCGGCTCAGTATGATGTAGCAGTTTTGCCATGGCCACAGCGGTGTTATTCTGTCGACGCCTCATCTTACCCAGCAGTTGTTGTCAGACATATTAATTTCTACCACCAATAAAAAATAATAAAATAAAAATCTAATAACCTCATATCAATGTATGCTAAGAACCCGTTCAATATCCGCTAGGTTGCTTGGAAAAGAATGCAGCTACTGAAGACGTTCTTAGCTTTTTATTGTTTAAACCGTTGCGTCACACCAACGATAAAATTCTATAAAAGCATATTTGAGCGATGATTTTTTTTTATCGCATAAGGGTGACAAACGCGCACACAGTCCACCTGATGGTAAGTGATTGCTGTGGCCCATAGATATCAACATCTATCATCGTTGGCGAATACAAAATGCAGATGTGTTGTCAGCCGTGAGGACTAAGATAGAATGCCTCTTTTCCAGTAAAAAGGGTCTAGGATACGAATGCTTCTTTGAAATTTTATCATTTAAGCAACCAAATGTTTAAAAGCTTCCAAGTAATAAGTTTATTTGGCCGCAGACATTTCAATATATAGTGAGATAGTCCACAGATTAGTCTTTAGGATGTTTACGTTTTTTTTACGGTGTAAAAAATTTGGCGCTTAAACTTATTACTTCATACTTAAGTAACAGAACTCAAAAAGTCGTCATTAATGGTAAATGTTCCTCCGAATCGGTAGTATCAATGGGCGTTCCTCAGGGCTCGATTCTTGGCCCATTCCTGTTCTTAATCTATATTAATGACTTACCTTATCTTGTAGGGGACAATCACGATATAGTATTATTTGCTGACGATACCTCTTTAATTTTCAAACTGAAACGGCAGTCAATTAAATATGACGATGTAAATAATGCTCTATCGAAACTAGTACATTGGTTTAACGCCAACAATTTGCTCTTAAACGGCAATAAGACAAAATGTATTAAATTTACAATACCTAATGTAAAACATTCGAAAACCAATGTGCTCTTAAATGGGGAGGAGTTGAGTCTTGTGGATACCACTGTTTTTCTCGGTATTACTATTGACGCGAAACTTCAATGGGGCCCCCATATATCTAAATTAGCAAGCAGACTTAGTTCTGCAGCATATGCTGTAAGAAAGATTAGAAGTCTCACAGATGTTGAGACAGCTAGGTTAGTGTATTTTAGTTACTTTCATAGCGTAATGTCTTATGGAATTTTGCTATGGGGTAATGCGACTGATATTGAAGCTATATTTGTTTTGCAAAAGAGAGCCGTACGGGCGATTTATAATCTAAATTGTAAAGAGTCCCTTAAAGAAAAATTTAAAGAAATAAACATATTAACTTTGGCATCGCAATATATTTATGAAAATGTAATGTATGTACATAAAAACATAAATAGCTTTAATAAGAATAAGGATGTTCATACCTTAAACACTAGGAACAAACATAAGCTTGTAATGCCACTTACAAGACTCCACAGAATTAGTAATTCATTTATGGGGCAATGTATACGCTTTTACAACAGAATCCCAGAACATGTTCAAAGTTTGTCAATAAACAAGTTTAAAAGTTTTATTAAAGAAAAACTGTACAAAAAGGGTTATTATAAAATCAAGGAATACATGAATGAAAATAACCCCTGGGAATAAGGTGATCGCCACCATGCTGGTTCTATGAAAATTCATTTAAAATTGTATAATCAAAATTATTGTTAATGTGAAATTATGTTTAAAAAAAAAAGTCCCGCTGGGTTTCTTGCTGGTTCTTCCCAGGACAGAGGTATTTTCCGAACCAGTGGTAAATAAAATAATGACTTTCAATAAGTATTATGTAATAATCCATATTGAATAAAAATCATTCTATTCTATTCTATTCTATTTTTGTTATCATTACATAGTAGTTGGAAAAATTTTGATCGCTTACGCTACAAAAAAAATCAATATTGAAATATTTCCAAAATCATTTTTTTTTGATAGAAAACTGAAGTGACAAACGATCTTACAGTTCACCTGATGATAAGTGACTACTTGGAGTCTATGGGCATTAGAATCAATTTTTTTCATACAATTTTTTCGAATATTTCAAAAGTGATTCCGTGTACGTGACACTCCTAAACGGCCGTACCGGTACGCAAACGAAGCCGAGTGGTATTACCGCAGATGTCGCGGGCAGGGTTGGGGGGGGGGGGGGGGGGAACTCCGCTCTCCTTCATACCGCGCCCCATCGTTGCACCGTGTAGTCGCCAATTTGATTTACTATTTATTTCACAACATACAGTATTATGGAATCTTCTGCTACATTTTATTCTTACTATTATATTCCCACGCTATTCTTTCTGTTGAATTGACTTAACATCATTTCCAGTGATATAACCTTATTAACCAACATTAGCTAACACTTAAAAGTAAAAAAAAGTTACAGCCTATATACGCCCCATATCATCCCATACATACAGACCATCCCCTGGGATAGTACTCGTCCCGGAGAATTTCATACATAAGCCACGGCGCCCTTACCACACTAGCCATGAATTTTGCAATATCAGAAAACACGCAGATATTTTGTATCTTTTCTAATCAGGGTACAAATAAAAACAGTCTTTTATGTATCGGGCTCGAGCGTTCGTATACATCAGAGAGGATAGTCAAGTCCTTCAAGAGTTATTGCCAAGGAAAAGTCAGAGCCAAGTAGAATTAGCTAGAAACTTGTTCGCTTTTCTTCGGGAACCCATATATTTTGATATCTCGGCTGTTCAAGGGAATTTATGTTAGCCATCTTCCTTCCGTCTCTGGATGTACGACTCGCTGGTCGTGAGCCAGACTACATAGGAAAAAACCAACCTTTCAAGCGCCTTTTTTGCATCCATTTCAACCAAACAAAGAGAGAATACTTCGTTTACTATTCGGAATTAAAAGAGCTCTACGTCGGATGTGCGGTTCACGCACATCCGACGTGTGTGTGTGTACACTTGTACACAAAGCACTCCTCCCCCTGGATATTCACAAGTTGAGTGGGCCTAGCGGAAAATCCAATGCTGAGGACGTATGCCTCGGAGCTGATATCAGCTCTAATGCATCTTTTCCGGTACTCTTACTCCATCTCATTGGTCTCGTGATCGTAAAAGCGATTGCTGATCATAACGTTCAGGGTTTGAATTCCGGGTTAGGCTAAAATTAGTAATTGGGTTTTTCTGTCTCTATAACAATCCGGAGGCAGGAAGTTGCCGGTGTTTTCTCCGCCGGGCATCATGGAAAGCACGTAAAACCGTTGGTCCTATGCCTGATCTCTTTCCGTTTGTTTCGGATTAGTGTCCCGTTGAACTTTGAGAGTGAGGAAGTAGAGTGCACCTGTGC